ACAGTCCAGATAGTTCAGGCTAACCTCAAACCCATTATTCTTCTGTCCCGACCACCCAGGTCTATTTCTTACATTAAATTCTAAAGCAAATTCTGACTTGCCTGCAACTTTTGAAAAGATAAATATGAACGATGGGAAAACCTTGAAATGCTGGCAATATTGTCTCTGGAAGGTGGGATAATGAGGTTTACATGTCTGCTGCTTAAAAGAAAATTGCTTTTGGGTTGGCATGGTGACACATGACTTTAGTCCAGCGCTGGGAAACAGAGGCAGGCACACCTCTGTGGTGGTGGGGACAGCCTGGCCCACGTAGTAAGACGTCATCTCAAAAAGCAAAACAAATTAGCCAAAAGATTTTTTGTTTTAATAAAAAATATTACTGCTTAGAAAAAAAAAAGCTTTCTAATGACACAATTCTTATTAAATAAATAGGAATCCAAAATTCATTTGGCTTTGATTTAAATAAATTTTTGTGTTATGCATGTTTATAGCTATTCACTGAAATTTAAAATATAGTGCTATTAAGGCAGGATAGAAAGAAAGAAAATTACAGGGACCTGGAAACAAAAAAGAACTTCTCATCCCAGAGTGTGAAGCCTCTTTCTAGATGGCAGCAAGAACTGCAACACAATTAACATTTGCTCTGAAGGTTACTGGCTTACAGGCAGTATTCCTTTCTTATGTAGGGACTTTTATTTTATTTATTTTTTAAGCAATGAACCAGGTTGGATATGAACCAGCATATGATGTTGAATTTAGCCCCATTGCTATCCTAACATTTTCTGGGAATCGTAAACAATACTGTTGACTGTCTTTACAGTGAAGATGCCATACCTTCCTGCATTCCATAATCTAGACTTTCACTTTATCCATTGCCACACACAACTCAGGAACACAACAGCTTCAAGAATTGCAGATCCTGTATACATTTATGAAGACAGTAAAGGCCAGCTCTTAGAGAGCATCATGCTTATGCTCAAGGACATATCTTACTGTCTCCACAGCGTAGCTGGTCTTTGCTACTTTGTGGATTCCTCTTTTTCCTACCCGTTATGCCCCCTAACACTAGATATGAGAGAAACAAGGACAGAAGAGAAGAGGAATTGGGAAATTCCCTCAATCTAATTTCTTTCCTTTTGTTTCCTCTTTGACCAAGGCTACTAGCAAACTGCACCCAAGCTCCCCAAATGACCAACAACTGTGACCTCCTGCAGGGCTCTAGCATTCACATACCCTCTAAAAAGCTCCTAGAATTTCAACTGTCACACAATCGCAGAAATTATCTGCAGCTAGCAGAACCAAGCTTCTGCTAGAGCACGAGGCAAATCATAGTCAGCTGCTGCAGACAGTGCAAGGCAGCCCCACGTCCCTATGCCTGGGATTAAAATAAAAGCGTGTTTTTTATATTATCTCTCTGTTCTCAAAGAAACCCAAATTCTAGAATTGTCACTACACTACATACCTTTCTTTTTCTTAACGTCCACGCTTAAAAAATACACATTAAAATATCGTTAATAGATTTCAACTCTGTTTCATCCTTTCTTGTCCTCAAAACATTTTTCTGCAGTGAAGCCAAAGACCTGTTTTTGTCTGACTTGCAGCCCCTAAAGATGAAAGGAGTGCTGGAGAGAAGGATGAGCAGGCGAAGGTGCTGTCCCTGGCAGCGAGGCTAACCGAGTTCAATGACAAAACCCACATGAAGATGGAAGGGGAGCACTGACTCCCGGAAGTTGTCCTCTGACCCACACTGAGGCATGTGCACTGTTTACTTCGTTTTAAAATAATGTCTTCTAAGTCAAAGAGAGATGGAAATTGTCATCACTAAAATACACTTAAGCCCTGCCTGTGGGAGGCCGCCCTGAAAGCAGCCCAGATGCCATAGATTCAAAAGGCGAGCTTCAGTTTTGTGTCTCTGCCTGATCACAGCTTGTTCCCAGTGTTTCCCAGACTCTAGAAGGAACTGATGAGTATGACCCCAGGCCAGGTCAGCTTCCTTGGACAGGTGAGAGTTCCCCATTGTGATCCCCAGTCCCACGGCCTCCCATGTTTGTATTGTATGTGGAGAAGGCTCACCTCACTCTTAACAAAATGCGAGCCCGCTTTTCTCTACCCTGCCTAACAGGTTGTTCATACATGTGTTGATTAACACCATGAGGTCAAAAACTAGCAAAGGGGACTTTTAGTACAAAATGCAAATGTGTGCATTTCTGAGTTTGCCTAAACAAACATGATGACTTTATTACACCAGACTCTGAGATGTTGCTGAGAGACCATCGCATGTGGTTCCTGGGACAGAATAATCTTGCCCAAGTCCAGAGTCGAATGATGAAGCTTGGCCGTCCTTCTTTGTCAAGCTTTGGGAGTTCTGCATGTGGGTAATTTCCTCCTTCAGTGTTACAGCTTTAACATGTGGGTGGGGCAGGGGATGGGTTAGTGTGGGAACCATAGCAGGCTACTATATATATATATATATATATATATATATATATATATATATATATAT